CACACACACACACACACACACACACACACACACACACACACACACACGTACAAATCCATGAAAGAGACTGGTTCTATAAGAGCCCCATACGTGCTGATAGTAGTTCAGTCCACATCTGCTGAATTATACATGACCCTGAGTGACTGTATAGATGACCTGCCAAGAGCCATTTAACTGTCAAGAGCTCCATTCTGCCATCAATGCACTGGGAGGCCGAGAGCAAACACCCCCGTGTGGGCACCCTCTGTGAAACAAGAAGGCTAGGTTATCTGTGAGAACACTTGCAGCTTTGCCGGCTAGGAATCTGTCCTCTGCATCCCTCGCCAGCACCAGCTGTTTGCCTCCTTTTCCTCTTGCCACTGCTGAGACCAGGCTTCTGTGCCTCCCTGAGCTTTACTGCGTGGGCCCATCACAGAACAGTTACTGCACTGCGTCTCACAGACCCTCCTCACACTGTGCTACGACCGTACCATAATCACAGCGTGTGCTCTTAAAATCCATGTGAGCATTTGAGTTCAGGGGTGGATTTAAGAGTAATTGTGAAGCAGGGCATGGTGCCGCACACCTTTAATCCTGGCACTCGGGAGGCAGAGGCAGGTGGATCTCTTTGAGGGGGGCCAGTCTTGTCTACACAGTGAGCTCCAGCATAGCCAGTGCTACATAGTGAGGCCCTGTCTTGATTTAAAGTCAACCATTTCTTCCTGAGTCCATAGGTCTAGAGACAGGGAGATCTGGGAAGTCACCAGGAAAACAATTGCATGGGTAAACAAACCTAAGGAGGAGGCAGTTTCCAAAGGAGTCAGGAAACTCGGGAGCAGCCTCAGGTGGGGCTGGAGGACAGGAAGCTTACGGGAAAGCCAGGCAGCTGAGAAGAGGAGGGTGCCACCAGTCTACACTGACTGGCTACTGCTTATGGCCCAATAAGAACTGAGACCAGCCCAGGTCAAGTGGTGTTCATCTGGGAGGATGTTCTCGTCCTCATTCTGGAGATTTTAAAAAGTGTCACACACACCCCCAATCCCCCTGCAGCCTGCATGGTGAAGTTTTACAGGTTTTACTCTGAGTTGACCGACAGGCCAAATCAGATGTCATCCACCTCTATTATGGGGTGGGCCCTGTCAAGGGCTCTGTCAGAGCTGGTGGTGTAGGCAGTCTGCTCTTGGGACCCCTCAAAACTCAGGATGCTCCCAGGAAGCTGTCACAGGCATGTAGTTCCCTTTGGACTGAGCTCAGGGTGTGTATACCTGCTGCTTGTTGAACTCTTTCGTGGCTGCACAGACTTTCTTCTTGGTGGCACATTCCAACTTCTGCAACTCTTGGGCTGCTTCATCAAATTTTAATCTTGTCTGATTGTGGAGGTCTTCTGCCAGGAGACAAGATGCCGTCCGCCTGAGTGTGCCCCTCAGAAGAGCCACCCAGCAGTGTGGGGATTCACGGGAGAAGGGTGAACGCGTGAAGTGGGAGGAGACTGCTTGTCTCCCAGGTTCTGGAAGAGCAGCTCACAGATCTTTGCGAGCGAGGGGTACTAGTGATCTCCATGGACTGATGATGTCTGCAGCAGTCCTAAGGTAGATTAGTTAGGCCTTATCAATGCTGGTCTCTCAAGACATGGCGTTAGCCTTACAAAGGCAAAAGATGGTAGGAGCCCAGGAAAAGGGGCTGTAGAAACCAGACAAGACCCAGGGCAAAGAATGTCAGGTCACAGATGGTTGTGGAGTGGCAGCAGAACTTTGCCAGGCCACTGAGAGGGACAAGGATGGAAGAAATTCAAGGGTACCAGGAAAGAAGTTAGGAAGGTCTGAAGCCAGAACAGGCTTCCAGACATGCCCCAGCACTGTTAACAGCAGCTACTGCCTAGCCTCTGTGGCCCCAGCCTCATCTGCCAGGCACAGTGCTGATGAGCAGTGGCCATATGAGAGCCACTGCGCAGCAGCTTTTGCTTTCTGCACTTGTGCTTTGAGGGGCTCCTCCTTATATCCACTAACAAAGAGCACAGACTCTCCATGGTGCTGGGGGTGCAAGCCCTCACACATACTAGGCAAGTGCTCTACCAATGCACTGCACCCCAGTCCCAAAGGACCAGTCTCTTTAGCCTTGACTTTCTGGCCTTTGTGCACCTTCATCCTCAGCTCACTCTTCGTCTGTTCATCTGTCATGTACCAGATAGTGGTCAAGAGCCTGGACTTGGGGGCTGGAGAGATGGCTCACGCACTGTTCTTCCTGAGTTCAATTCCCACCAACCACATGGTGGTTCACAAACACCTATAATATGATCTAATGACCCCTTCTGCCAAGGAGATGTACATACTTATAGAACACTCATATACATAAAATCAATCAATCAATCTTTAAAAAACAAAGACAAAAAAAAAAGAGCCTAGATTGGTTCCCACATTGCTCAGGAATGCACACACATTCCTGAGAAACAGAGGTTTCCCTGCCTTTAAAGGACACCTCCCAAATCAATACACAGAGTGTGATAGTCCATTGAAGAAAGGAAGGCTGAGAGAGGAAATGCTGGGAATGTCTGGCTTGGGAAGCTGGAGAGCGGGGACCAGGAAACAGCTTCTGTAGGACGGCATGTTTATTCAGATCTGAAGGAGTAAATCAAATGGTTGGGGCAGGTGCAAGGGACCTGAAGTGGAAGAGACACAATGGAATCCAAAAGTAAAAGATGTGAATGAGCTGATGTTGTCTGGGTGGGCTGTGGGATGGTTTTAATCTTATTCTACATCCCATGAAGACATTCGATAGTTTTGAGCCTGGATGAGGGCATGGGTGTGGCGTGGCTCAACTTGACATTATCTGAAACGTACCATTGAGCTTGTCGTGTTTGGAATGTGCTAGAGAGGAAAGTAAACAGTTACAAGGCCATTAGCAGAGGCCCATTGAGGTAAGAGAATGTGATGGCTTGTCTCACACTGTGGCAAAAGGGATGGCGCAAAGTCAGCAGTTCAAAGTATATGCAGGAGGTAGAAAGGGCACAACTGATGATGGCTGAAGATGAGGTCAGGATTGAAGGACAAGGAGGCAGCTGAAGAGTTTGCAGATCCAACAAAGCAACCCAGGGAAGGAATTGGCCTGGAAGCCAAATAGGTGCGTATGTCAAAGAGACTGAGGCTGAGAACCGACTTCGGATAAGGAAGCATGACAGTCCTGGGCCAGGCTGGCCATAGTAGCTCTAGTGGCCAGGGTGGACAGAGGAGGCAGCTAGGAGGAAAGACCATTAGGAAAAAAGGAGGCTTGGAGGAGCCCGAGCTGAGCACGAAGATTATGAATTAACACAGACAAAAGTGGCTGAGGAGGACTGGGCGATTGCTCCCACCTAGCTTTGCTTTGTTCTTCCTGGCAGCATCTCCCTAGTAATCTGAGGACCAGATACTGCTATGAGTGCCTGCCAAGGAGGGGCTGGTGGCCTCTGCAGAAGCAGAACATACTTTTTTTTTTTTTTTTGGTTTTTTTGTTTTTTGTTTTTTTTAATTCCCCCCAGAGATGCTCTTTCATGTCCGAATCCACAGGTTCCCTGGGTGAATCCTGAGAGTTCTGGTGGGGAGCTTTCAGCACTGGGCCTATGACTGGTCTCCCAAAGTATACAATGGAACCTCCATTTCCACACCCAGGAGACTTGGAAGATATTATCTACTTTTATTTGTCTTCTAAGCAGGCTGTGCCTCAGCTCCTGCCTCCAGGTTCCCGCCCTACTTGAGTCCTGCCTTAGCTTCCCTCAGTGTTGGGCTGTGATCTGAGAGTTTAAATACACCTTTCCTCTTCAAGATGGAAAGCAAGCTAGGATAGTAAGCATACTCAGAAAGTATCCCCTGTACTGTAGAGGTACACTTGGAGATGTCAGCTCCCAGGGCTGAGGTTTTGACTTTTGTAATGTTAGTAATACTTTCAAGAGCATCCACTAAAACCGAGCTAGGGGGTTGACTTGTCGGAAGATGAACTCATCTTCTCTTTCATTACCTGCAAGTTTGTGGTTGGCCCGGGCTTTCTCCCATGCTCTTTGCTGCTGCAGGTACCATTCTCTGTTCTGCTCCATTTGGAATCTCTTCCTCTGTTGGATGTTTAAATCCTCTCCCATGAACTTCTGCATTCCTGATACGTTATTCTGCTTGCCACTGTCTGACATCCGGGATCTAAGGGACCCGAGGTCACACAGATCAAATTCACGGCGAGTTTCTGGCTTCTGAGAGTGCTTCTGGAACTCATTGAGAGCTTTACAGAGTTGCCTCCTGTTTCTCTGTTCCCGGTCCCGGAGTAGGCACATGATTTTGTCATTGTACCTCATTTCAGCAGCTAGGAAAGACACAGCTCACATTTAAGCTAAGATGGATAAAAATGAATCTACTTTAAAAATAATTTTCATGACTTTAAGACAATGTTCCAAAATTGTAACATAACCTATTAAAGGAACAATATTCACATATATAAAAAGCACCTACAACCCAATCTTACATACACAGAAACCAGCTGAGAAATGAGTACAGGCTAGGACAGGCAAAGCACTATAAAGAAACTCAAGTCGGCGTCATACTTAAGAAGGATTATTAACTTTTCATGGGACACATTCAATGGACTTCAGGAAAAATGCTTAAAAGTGTTGTCAATGACATATTTCAGTAATGATTCGAGGAAGAAGATCAAGTTTATCCCCCTCACTGCTTATTGAGCGTAACTTTGCACGCTTCTAACAAAGCAAACTGACCCATCAATTCCACTCCAGTGTCCCTTTCACATGTGCACAAGGGACATGGACATTTGCTGCAGCAGTATTTGCCAAGAACCTTCAAAAGTCTGGGTGTACCTTCAATCCCAGAACTTGGGAGGCAGAGGCTAGCCTGGTCTACGTGGCCTCTGTGCACACACATATGTGCGTTCACCACACACACACACACACACACACACACACACACACACACACCACACAGAAACAAAGACATACAAAAGCAAGTTTACATTATTATGGATACATAGAGAGTACAAGTATAAACACACTGGGAATACTCACTTTTTGTAGAAGAAGAAAGGGAGAGATTATAGTGTGGGGGGGGTGTCATTTGTGTTACATACAACACAGTTCTCAGGAAGAAGCTCCTAAGGGAAGATGCCAGAGGCTAACATGGCAAAATGTTGACACCGAGCCTGATGGCTTATACATGAGTGACTTATATTCATTTTGTAAGTTTGAATTACTTTGTGAAGAAAACAAACAAGGCTAAAAAGTCTGGAAAATGTATAACAGTGTGAAGAAAAGCAACTTCGTTCATAGTTCAGCTACTCCCACATAACCACTAACAATCCATTTTGCCTTTTTCTAATCATATGTTTTAAGGCACATTTGTCTCTACAATTGTATGCCCTGCTTTTTTATATTTAAAAAAAATCCTATGGTAATTTTAAAAGCCTAATGTTCAGCAAATTGGTGACACTGCTGGCCAGGAAAGGAAAACTAGATTCTGTTTAAAATTTTGATTGCCGACCTACAACACCATTTGAACCACGTGAATCACCAAGTTAGCTTGGAACTCAAAACTTTTCTGAAAACTGCGTTTTCTTGAGAGGAAGAATATGCTCATTAAGTTAAACTGAGCATAAGAAATTGTGGAAATTTTAAGAAAAAGACCATAAAAACAGTAAGTGTGTGTGTGTGTGTGTGTGTGTGTGTGTGTGTACTCATTCATGTACACACACACACACACACTTGACATCAACAGCTGTCCTCAATAGGTCAGCAATGAGTATTGAAGCAGAGAATATATACATGTATATTTTAGGCTTTTTCTTTTTAGAGAAAGAATTTTTAAGGAAAACAACAAAAAAATGCTAATTTTATTTAAGATATATTTTCTAAGATGTACATTAAGATCCAATAACTGCATTTTTTTTGAGAAGAAGAATATGCTCATTAAGTTAACTGAACACAAGAAACTAAAATTTTAAAAGGAAAAAGACTATAAAAATGATAACTGCATACCTGTGAGAGTGCATGCATTTGTGTATTTGTGTGTGTGTGTGTGTGTGTGTACTCATTCATGAATGTGCAGGGGACTGAATCCAGGGCCCTGAGAACACTGAGAAATCGAAAGCTCTGGGTTTCTCAGCTGTGCAGAAATGAAGACATGAAGCCCTAAGAGGGACGCTTTAGAAATGCTCACCAAAGGTTTCATGCCTAGCTTTTTCAGTTTCTTTTCTTATCATCTGGTCATGAACTTGAATATCCCAGGCATGTGCGTCTCCCTAGGAATGGACAAGGGAAGAGAGGTTAGAGCCACCCAGCATTATTCAGTAAGTCACGATCCCCCTCATCTGCCAAGCATCAATAACACACACACACACACACACACACACACACACACACACACACACACACACACACACATACACACTACTTTTTAAGTACCACTCCTCTGGGAAGCCCTCTCCGATCTTTCCTCCCCCCCCCCCCCCCCCCCCCCCAGGCTCGAGTATGTACTAGTGCGGATCCCACTGCTTTTTCTATGGTCGTTTGAAGGCCTGCCTCTTTCACTCCGTGGGGAACTCTGCCAGGGCTCCCACACTCAGGCTAGCCAGGGCATTTGTCACCTCGAGGAATGGAAAAGTGAGCTCAACAGGAGGAAAGCGAATGTGGTTGGTGCTTCGATATAAAGGCTCCTCCCGAGCCTTGGCTCCCCTCCTTCCCCAGTGCCTCACCCCAATGATCCTGTTCCTGGCGTCGAAGATCCGTCCCTGCCTGCTCAGCTCCGTGTACCGCCTCTTGGTTAGGTTGGCTTCTTGATTCAGGTCTTTATCCGTTACTACCTCCATGGTGCTGGGATTCAACATCTTTCACAACAAACGCGGTAAGAAAAGGCCACAGATATAATCAAGCTACAGCGCCGAAAAGCAGCGCCCCCGAAAGTTTGAGAGAAAGACTGACTGTCGCGGCGGCGGCGGCGGCTACCCGCAGCTCGCTTTCTGCAAGAGAGCAAGAATTCAGAGACCGGATCCCCCAACTCCGGAAAACGCCAACCTCCGTTGCTGAGCAACGGCACCTCGCTCCCTCCGGTCTCGCGAGACTTGGCAAAGTGCTTCCCGCGCTTTCCCCACTGGCGCACGAGGAAGCGGCTGAGGCACGGAGCACCGCCATGGGGCGCCTTGAGCTGCTGCTCGTGGAGAATTTCAAGTCGTGGCGAGGCCGCCAGGTCATCGGCCCCTTCAAGAGGTTCACCTGCATCATCGGCCCCAATGGCTCGGGTAACCAGCGCCCCAGAACAGTTCGGCCCGAGGGAATCCACGGGCCACTGCAGCCCGCTGTAGACCTGAGGGGCCCCGGGTGTTGGCCTGAGGAGACTAAGCCACCCTCAGTCGTCACTGTTGCCTGCTGTAGACCTGAGGGGACCTAGAGGCCCCAGGTGTCGACCCAGGGACCCATCTCATCCTTTGTTGGCATAAGGGGACCAAACCACCCCCCAGTTCCCTACTTTCACCCGCTGTAAGCCTGAGGGGACCGAGTCCCCATCCCTCGACTCTGTTTTTGCTGTAGTCCGGAGGGGACCCAGGGCCCACTGTAGGCCTTAGGGAGCCTGCTGTTGGACCGAGGGGACCCAGTGGCCTGCTCTTGCCCATTGTTGGTCCGAGGGTATCGAGGCACCCCCATTCCCCGCTGTTTCCTGCTGACCAAGCCCCTATTCCCCACTTCCAGCCCTCCAGACTCCGACTCCCGCTGTTGACTATTGTAGGCCTGAGTGGACCTACCCTCACCCTTTGTTGGCCTGAGGGGACGGAGCCAATCCAGTCTCTGTTACTGACTGCTGTAGGCCCAAAGGGACACAGAGCCCACTGTAGGCCTGGGGGAGGGGGTGACCCAGCCACCCCACACCACCCCAGTTGGTCTGAGGGAACCAACCCCCGCTCCTCCCGTTCAGCCTGCGTGGACCCAGGGTCCTCTGTAGCCCACTGTTGGTCCAAGAGAACAGAGCACACCCCTATATACCAAGCTCCATCACCCACTGTAAGCCTGAAGGGGACCCAGGAACCTGGGGGCAGTCTAGGGCCAATACTCCTCAGCCAACAACCCTTGCTGGCTGCCCTCACCAGTCCCTAGCCCTCCTTCCCTGTAATACCCCGTGCCCCCACCCTCTCTGCAACAACAGCAGATACTAAGAATGAAATGGATTTGGCCTTTGTTGGGAAAAACCAAGACTTGTAACCCAAGTATAGTTAAGGTGAAGAAAGGGAATTTTAGAGGCTAAACGATAATTTCTGGAATGATTTTCTTAGTGCTGCATTTAAATAATTAACAGCAGATGTCTGCAGTCTGAACTGCAAACCTGTTTTATTAATCTTTATCAACGAACGATTGTTAAGCCTATACTGGCAGGCCAGCAGTTACTGTTTTCTAATCATAGTATCTGGCTACCCTCTGATTTAGCATCCAGCTCCTTCCCCCCCCCCCCCTTTTCCACTGGTAAGAGACATTTTTTTTTGAAGAATTTTTTAGTATAAAAGTGGTATACATGTAATGTAAAAAACTAGAAAATAAGAACAGAAAAATCAGCCAGGCGGTGGTGGTGCACACCTTTAATCCCAGCACTCTTTTGGGAGGCATAGGCAGGTGGTTCTTTGTGAGTTCGAGGCCAGTCTGGTCTATGAAAAGAGATCCAGGATAGCCAGGGCTAAACAGAGAAACCCTGTCTACAAAAACAAAAAGAACTGAAAATCAAAACATTTATTTACAATTCAGAGATGATTGCTCTATTCCTTTGGAGCATATACATGCAGATTTTACTCTGTGAACTTTTTAAAAAATGAAAATGAGTTAATATATTGTTTCTTATTCAGAAGATTAGCCTTTCAATAAATCTGCTCCTCAAATCTGGATTCCTTAACTAATCCCAAAACAGCCTTCAGCCAAAACTCGTTTTCACTTCAGAACTGCATAGTGTATCAAAATGTTATATCCTTTAAATTTATCTTATTTTAGCACAGTGCTTTTATTTTTAAACCCTTCCATGACTTTTCATAATCTAAAGTATGAAATTCAATTTTTTAAGTATAGTATGTTGTAATTTTTAGATGCCTTTTACCTTACCTGTTACAAGCTTTCTTACTGAAATGTTACCATGCTTTCTTATTTCTTTGTACCTAAGACAGGCTACTCTTCTTTTTTTCTGGGATAATATATTTACCTTTAACAACCCCCTCTCTAAATTTATTTACACCGAAAAACTTAACCCAGAATTATCTCCTGAAAAAAGCCAACTCAGGCTAGAGAAATCGCTCAGTGATTTCTAGCTTCTAGTACTAGCTTTCACGTACTAGCTTCTCTTGCAGAGGACTTGGATCCAGTTTCTAGCACCCACATGATAACTCATAACCATCTGTAATTCTAGCTTTAAGGAACCTTGACACCCTCTTCTGGTTTCTGCAGGTACTGGAAACACATGTGGTATATACATACATACATGGAGGCAAAACATATGCAATTAAAATCTTAAAGAGAGAGAGAGAAAAATCTAACTTGGTCTCTGGCTATTGGTCCTTCTGTTAAGTGTTTCTGTGATATTTCACATTTTCCTTACAACTTAGAGTATATTGTGATTTCCTACATTTATTGGAAACAATGTATTTGGGAACCAAATATATCACTCTAAAACATGTTTTCTTGTGACTTTTCATTTATAAACTGCAAATACCAATTTCCTGAGAAATTGTTGCAAAAAATAAAATAACAAGATGTCAGGTGTCTGGTATCAAATGTGGTTCAACAGATCACATTCTCCCACTGTAAGCACCTTGGAGCAGTGAAAGAAAAAGTACAAGAAATTTAAAGAGATAATTGACTTGTTTGTGATTCAGTGACGTCCATCAGACAACACTTCATTCAGTGAAGCAGAATGAGTATTCTACCAGCAATAATAGAATGCTTGGCTTTTACAAGAACAATAAAAGTGAATTGGCCAACATCAAGTTATGGCAGATTATTTTCCTTATACCCAGCTCTGAGGTAGATTGGACTTTCAATGGTTATTATGCTTTCAGGACAAACCAGTCTATATGAGGATTTACTGGCTTCCTTAAAAGTTCAGTTTGATTGTGTGGAACTTACATGATTTACTCCAATTGGTTTGGTCTTATATTCTAGTATCTAGTTATGAGAATAGTCCAAAATTCAATGGTGTCCATTAAGTTTTGGAAGAGAAAACCTATATTTTACTGCTTTTTAGCCCTGATATTTAACAGAGTGCCTGGCAAATACATATTCAGGAAATGTTTGTAGGATAAATAGATGTTTTGAGGGACTGAGAGATCAAAGACTGAAGAGTTTAAGTTTTTGTTTAAGAATTTGAACTAGGAAAGGAGTGGCAAAAAGGAAAGGTACAGAGTTATGTTTTGAGAGGTGGAATTAAAAAAAAAAGATTGAGAGAAAAGTAGTGTAACATAGTTTTCAAATCTTGGTTCATCTTTATTCAGTGATCATAGCTTAAAATATAGCTCTTCCAGAATAACTGCGTTCCTAATGGTCTTCTTAAATTTTTTTGTAGCAGTCTCTTGGCTTGGTTTACTAATTTAATGTCTGTCTGTTTCTATCTATCTACCTACTTACCTACCTAGTTAGTTTTTCAGAACAGGGTTTTTCTCTTTAGTCCTGGCTGTTCTGTAACTTATTCTGTAGACCAGGATGGCATTGAACTCATAGATCCACCTGCCTCTGCCTCCTGAGTTCTGGGATTAAAGACATGTACTGCCACTGCACTGCTGTGTGTGCAGCATTTATAAAAATCCATTGTTCTTTTTAGAAAGATTCTGCCCCTCTAAAACCACTTGTGTTTCTGTAGTTAGAAATACATTCCCCTCTGTTTACATTACTTTCTGGCACTGAAAATTCAGATTGCTTGTGTGGGAGCTAAACTGGCATCGTAACTTGAAATTATAGCTATTTATGGGTTTATAGTAGTATAATGTTATAAATTAGTTTGGGGTCACAAAGAAAAAGGCCACCACTCCAACTGACAGATCTTGAAAGTGTCTTGATCAAGAAGGTGTGCTTGGAAGAGCAAGCTCACTGAGACAGGAAATGCAGTTGGTTTTTCTAAGACAGGTGGTATCTTAGTCTTTTTCCCATTGGCTAGGGTCTGACCTCACAGTTTGGCAATTGGCTTGTTTACAAAGAATGGGAAAAGAGAAATGAAGAAAAGCAGGAAGCAGTCAGCCAATTAATTTGCTTAAGTTCCAGGATTATAGCAGAGCCTTTTTGTAGGAAAGGATTTACTTGATAGGGGGATAAAATATTTGAATTCCTTGTTTAAAACACAAGTTTTTTGTTTGTTTAATTTTTTGGGACAGGGTCTCATTATGTATCTTTGGCTGGCCTAGAGCTTGTTATATAGACCAGGCTGGCCTAAAAAACTCACTGAGACCTGCCTGCCTCTGCCTCTCAAATGCTGGGATTAAAGGTATGCACATCTCCAGCTGGTTTAAACACAAGTTTTATAATTTTGATAGAAGAGACTCATCTTTATCTTTCCTTATATAGCAAATTGACCAGTGGGATTGGAGACCACCAGGACTACCCCCTGGTTTGATGGTTTGCTAGGAGATCCTTCAGTGTTTTGGCACATAGTTTATTCAGGGTTATTATGTTTTACAAGCATGATTACAGTGGGAAAAGCTAAATTCCTTCAGCAGTAAGTTCACATGTTAAAATGTCACCTATCCAGGAACCACATGGACTCAGTGCACAGGGTTTTAGTTGAGAGATATTCATACCCTTTACCTAGTACATACAAAATTCCAGACTCCTAGAAGGAAGCACATGTTTAATCTTAGTCATGTCTCACCAAGCTTAGACATGATGAGCCATTCTTACCATGAAATTATAGAAACCCTGCCCAGATCCAAGTATAAAAACCGTGAAGATTCTAG